GCTACCTTTAATGTGCTACGTTTACATAAACACAGGAGATTTACTACCTTTAATGTGCTACGTTTACATAAACACAGGAGATTTACTACCTTTAATGTGCTACGTTTACATAAACACAGGAGATTTACTACCTTTAATGTGCTACGTTTACATAAACACAGGAGATTTACTACCTTTAATGTGCTACGTTTACATAAACACACGAGATTTACCATCTTTAATGTGCTACGTTTACATAAACACAGGAGATTTACCATCTTTAATGTGCTACGTTTACATAAATACTATTGTTCGAAGTTCTCCTGTTGTAAACAGTGACAACGAGAACTAGTATTTTATATATGAAAACCAAAATATTAGAGCTACATATATCACGAGTCAGAAACTTGCTAGTTACGAAAATATCAAATTCAGTCAAAAAACGATGGGTAAGAAAGTTTCCATTGAAGCTTTAAGCGTTAAATATACTGTATAACTAACTAAAGAGGAGACGAACCACGATTTAGTACCGTTGAATAAGATAATGGCTTACTTATAATGAAAGAATAATGCGTTACATAATATACCCGTATAGTTGACCGAACAAATATACGTGGTCTAATTTATATTAGCTTGCACATACGTTTAGGTCAAAATGCGAAACGTAAGGAATTAGCTGTTGATGTACGATAAGCACAGTCATGCATATCAGTTTCTGATCAAGTATTAACTCTTTCAACCCAATTACACGTCCGGTATAAACGAAGGAAAACTTCAATTACGTTAACACTGTCTAGTGAAAGCCCGTTTCTGTATGGTGGTCTGTAACAAGTTGTTCAAGTACAATGTATACCCAAACAGATTCTACAACAAGAAAATAACCTAAACAATAGAATCTGACTCATGTATTACAAATAACGTAGCATAGAAACTAATGTTCCGATGTAGAAATACAGTTTTGTTGAGATGTCTGTCACTGTAGAGAGAAATGAACAAGGAAAATACGTAAGGAGAGTGTGGGGGAGGGGGGGGAGGTTTTTGCAACAAAAGTTCTATATCATTATTTCGTGATAACGGTAACTAGTGATATTAAATTTTTAGATTTAACACGAAACGCCTTGCCCATAACGAAACGTTACGTGTCTCTCGAACTTTTATCATCTCCTCCTTTGTTTGTTGCCCCTCAGTTTCACAGTAGTGCGTCTTGTCTGCGGACTTACAACGCTAGAAACAGATTTTCGATACCCGCGGTGGGTAGAGCACAGATAGCCCATTGTGTAGCTTCGTGCTCAACTTCAAACAAACCAACATTTGTTTGTGTCTGCGGACTTACAACGCTAGAAACAGATTTTCGATACCCGCGGTGGGTAGAGCACAGATAGCCCATTGTGTAGCTTTGTGCTAAACTTCAAACAAACCAACCTTTGTTTGTGTTAAGAAGATGAAACATTAGCCTTCCGAGGCCTGAACCAATTTTAACTAAACCAACAATTTGAAAACACGAGATTTCTAATAAAATGATTTAATATAACGTAAATCTGCCTTAAAATAATTACGGATAAAACTGTTAAAAAGTTAGTTGTTTTTTTCTCTCATTTAATCGTTGCACTAATTTCTAACCATATTAGTTAGGAAAGTTGCATTAAACTTTAAAGCAAGAAATGGGGTTGTCTTTGCAGATGGTAGAATGAACAGCATTGTGAAGATAAACGTGTACGTCTGTGATAAATTCACACTAACAAACAGTGTTTAGTTCCTTTATACGAAAAATGTTTGAGACAAAAATTTGTTAGAATGCTAAACTTGTATACACGATACGTTATTATAAAGTCCCCTACGTTACCAAACTCGGTCATAGCATGTAAAGTACCCCCCGCCCGTTTTCACATAATATCAAGAAATAAAAAGTTACCTAAACAACTTGCTCGTCCGGTACACACGTCTTTCGTCCAAGTCGAGAAACCGAGTCTTATGGCGAATAACCTCTACCTTGATACATCAACCTTCTTATATATAGTCGTAACCTCGTCACATGACCGCTCGGTTTACTTTCCTTCTCGTAGCTTACTGGTGAAATTACATCTGACGTATGCGCTCTTGATAATTAGACACTCAGATATTTCGCGTGAATCGCTCTTAAGGCTCCCTTTAAAATGTTTTCATTTTCATGACTGATGCAGAAATAAACATTACCTACACCGAGTGCACGTGAGTGACACAAAACTCGTCCCCCCCCTTTTTTTTTCACGCTCTATAACACATGATCAGAAATTTAAATCCAGCAATACTTGCGAATGTTACTGAGTTTGATTTTTAATTCAATTGAACAACTAATTCACAATTTAAAAAAAATTATTTTGTGCCAAACAAGTTCAATCTTTAGGCTATCCGTGCTGTGCCCAACTCGGGTGTCGAAACCCATTTTCTATCGTTAGAAGTCCGCAAGCATACCGCTGTGTCACTGGAGGGCTAGAAGGCTTGAAAACGTAGTAACAAATTATATTTTCCTCCTGTACCCTTCGAAACGTCGTTCAGGATAAAGAGACAAAAATTTAACATATGACATCCCTTAACTACAACAAGTATAATAGAAAAATAATATTTATATATTTTTTTATAAAGACAAGTATGGATACGATATATATATACGGAACCTAGCTAGCTATAGTAACATAGAAAGTTTTAATGCTGCAAAAATATGAAAAAAAAAGGAAATCAAAACTACAGAAACTGAGTTGTTACTTAAAATTTAAGAAAAATTTTAT